AATAAACACTATAAACCAGAAATGTTGACTTCACTTGGGCTTGGGACTAATTTCCATTGTGCCAATGATTGGACTTGAAAATGTGAAAATGGGGCTTCATTTTATGGGTTATGCTTTGAAATGGTATGGGTTTTAAGATAATGGGATTTGTGATATTAATCTAAGATTATGAGTTTAATGAGTCTGAATTGTAACAATAAATTCTAAAATTAATTATGAAAATTTGGTAATTAAATCAAAAATAATTAAATTAATTTACATGAAAAAATTAAGAAGTACAGACAAAGGAGAGGGAGAAGAAGAAAAAAAAAACGAAGAGGAAAAATATATGTATATATATATAAACAGAAGAAGACTAAGAATAAGTGTAGTGTGATTAACTCAAGGCACAAATTTATGTGACCATTGCTGGCGAAATCATAATCCCGTCGTGATTTTAAAATAAAAAATTAAAATTTTATGAAAAAGTTTTTAAAAAAAAATTGATTTTCTTGAAAAAATTGTGTGTTTAAGTAATAAAATTATACAAATTAATTAACAGTGGGGAGATTAAAAATGAAATTGATATTTTTATTATTTTCTGTAAAAGCATTATGTACTTTGATTATTTTACAAATATACAATTTTTATATTTTTCTATAAATAAGATATTTATAAATACATAAATTCAAAAAAAAAAATTAAAAATTATCTTTTGAAATACAAATTCAGACATTAATGTGGTAGACCAACAAAATTAATTGGATTTGCTGAATAGTCTTCAAGAGGCCACTATTATTTTATATGTACATAATATTATATGTAATAGATGCTCTTCTCCTAGTCAATAAAGACTAAGTAATTAACCAGGCAATTTATTACACTCGGGCATATATCTATAGATTCTTGATATGATCTACATGCCAAAAATTGTGTAGGTTTCTCACTTCCACTTTTTCATTCAACTTTCCTCTTATTATCATTCTTAATTATGTATATGTGAATATATCAAATTGATAATTTATAATATATGTATCCTAATTAACAATCAAGATATTAAGTTAAAAATATATTAATGAACTTACTAATTAATCATGCAATGGAAATAATGAGTGAACACGAATATTATATATGGAATAGATTTAATATATTTTATAAAATTATTGTGTGATTTAATTTATTATTTATATTATATAATCCTACCCTAAAATATGTATTTGTATATGTTCAAGAGGTTTGAGGAAGTTATAAAAGGAGATAACTATGGATGTATACACAAATAACACATGTGTATGTATATATTTAAGTGGATCAAAAAACTACCTTCCACCATTTTCTCACACAATTAGATTATCACTTATAATAATTTTAATTTAGTTGTTTAATTAGATCTCGGCTCCCATGGAATTAACTTCAACTAATTGATGAATCCAAGTCCAAACTTAACTATATCTTACTAATGGATAGTCCATATATATATACATATATATATATGTATATGTATATGTATACGCACGGGCTGTACAATACAGATTTCAGTTGAATGATTATGCATGCGTCACACATGACGTTTGTTTTAAATGTTATTTGCATGTATGTATGTGATTTTTAACTAACCAAAAATCAAAATTATTCCTTGATAATTTTTAAAACTCTGAACATCTACCTCGAAAATTAGTACATCTTATACTAGAAATATCGTACTTTATGACATATATATATATATATATATATATACATGAAGATATACACTTAAATCCATGTGGATATAGAATGGACACATGCATGGACTCTAACATAAATGCTACGACTTGTTCAATGCGATAGCTACAATTATTCATGTACTTTCAAAATTAATTAATAGCAAGTAATTTTTTTATAAATTAAATAATTAATTTAAATTAAAGCGATCGATTATCGGAAACGAATCTATCATATCTTCAACTTCAATCTAATCCACACAAGTAATATTTTCAACCCAACTCCAATCATACATTATTTTCTTTTCTCTTTTTTATTAATTTAGTTAATATTAAAATTTTATATACGATTAAGATAAATGTTAATTAGTGTATTTTATTTTAATTTTGAAGATTCAATTCGATTTATAATTGTCAATAAAATAAATAAATTTTGATTCTCAATTCAATTATCAATTTAACAATTATTTTAAATTTTTATATGATAATTAATCATATGATTAGTTATTTAAAATGATATTAAATGCCCAAAATTTTATTAAAAATTAATTTTCCCAAATAATTGAGCTTTTTAGTTAATTTACGACTGCTTCCGTTTATTTTATTTTTATTTTTTTTTATTTTTTTGGAAGCAGAAAATATTGACTTTTTCTCATCTTACAAGTCTCTTCCCAATCACATACGCAATAAATAAAGCTCAGAGCAACTCCCCACAATTACTGCTTCTTTTATTTTCACCACTTGAAAAATAAGTAAATTCATAGTAAGAAGAAAATGTTGAATTTTCCTTTTTTTTTTCATTAAATCAATTAATGTAAGATGTACGTCTTGATAACTCTTCAACAGCCACCTACTGTTGCGGGCCATCATATGTATATATTTGCGCTGAAAATGTATCTCCTTCTTCCCCCTATAAATACACACAGCCAACCATTACTTGTCATCACATCCTTCATACTAAGTAGAGCCAGTGTCGAGTTGCAGCAACCAAAAACCATGGCATCGAAGATTTTCCTTCTCCTAGGCCTTTCATTGGCCATACTTCTTCTCATCTCCTCCGAGGTGGCTGCAAGAGACCTCGCCGAGACGGAGACCCAGCAGGAACATGGTCAGCTTTACCTTCTTCATTCTGACAATCACTCTTTACTACTTTATTAATCACATGCAATGTAGTTACTAACACTACATATCTATACGAATAATGATCATATGCATATACTGCGTGTAAATTTATGCAGGAGAGGTTGAGGAAGAGACAAATGGAGTGGAAGAGGCTAAGTATCCAGGATATGGAGGATACCCTGGAGGCGGCGGATACAACGGTGGGTACAACGGTGGACGTGGAGGATACAACGGCAGAAGAGGGTATTGCCGCTATGGTTGCTGCGATAGAGGTTATCATGGGCGCGGAGGTTGCAGGCGCTGCTGCCACTATGCTGGTGAGACTGTTGATGCCCAAACCCAAGTCCAGACACATGACTAGAGCACCATAAATTATAAATAAGCGCTACAATGCATAGCTCGGTGTATATATATATGCACAGACAAATGGTTTAATGAAATATATAATGTGTGTTTAGTGTGTTAGTCTTTTGCTAACACAACTTTTGTGCAAGCACCGATTAGTATTTGTAGCGCCAGAAGTGCTTAATAAGTTAATAAATAAAATTACGAGTATGGATATGTGATGGTAGTTTTGTAGTGTTGTATGCATGCTCTAAAATACTTTTTACTCATTTTGTATATAAACTATGCAAATATATTAAAAACTAAGTAAGTATTGAATTAAAATCTTAAACAAAAACCCTAGAGAGACAAGAGAATGAGAGAGAGTCCAAACAGGTTCTGAAGAGCTCATTTCTTTTTTTTATTTATACTGAAAAATATTGAAGAATCTGTAGAGTGCACAAATTTTTCACAAATATGATATACAAACTAAATTGGAAAATGCCAACATATATATATATACACACACACATACTCATATTACATACACACGCATCATGCTTTTGAAGCTTCAGCACGAAAGCCCAATGGAGAGATGAATGTTGGGATTGGGCCTAAATCTTATTCTTTCTGTATTTCAAATTTATTTCGATTAACAACTACATAATAAAACTTTCCGTCTTAATCTTCTGTTATTATCTTAAATTTTTCAAAATAAAAGAGATATTTAAATTAAAGTGACAGCCGAACTGAGTATTTAAATATTTGATTTTGATTTTTTTCAAATAGTGTTAAGTTCAGGTTTTGCTTGAAGTTTGATTAATTATCTTAAAAACTCAAACTTAATTTGCTTGAAAAGAGTTTCAACTTGAAAAAATTCAAATTATATAAAATTTATTTGGATAAATTCGATAAATAATATCCTATTTACTTATTTTTGTTTAATTTTTATGAAAATATTTTTTATATTATCAAATACGTACTCAAAAAAATATATAAAAATATTAACTTATTAAGGATTCAAAACTTATAAAAGTAAAAGATTTTTTTTTTTTATAAGACTTAATATTCTAAGAGAATCAATACTATTATATGGATCAAAAGTAATTTTACTTATAATAGTCATAATACTAGAATTTAACAAAATTGATTTTTCGAAAGTACTTATTGATTTTGCTCCAGGTGGAGTAAACTTATCTTACATTCATTCCCGAGCCTCCGAAATCTTAACAGTTCTGAAGAGAACTTTCTACGCTAGTTTTATTTTATTCAATTAAAATTAAACTACTTTGTTCACTAAAGTATTTTATCTGGGAGATGTTTTTATCTTTCTTTTTGGTATAATTCACTTTTAATTTAACATTGAAGAGAGTAATGTTGTTACTTACGCAATTCTAAGTAACCAAAATTCAGGGATGATCACTTTAAGAAATGTTATTTTTGCCTCAAAACTACTAATATAGCCTAATGTTACTGTCAAGGCATACAATTGGACAAACATGTTGTGCAAGAACTTCATTCATGAAAATAAACTTTTAATACCTCAGAAAAAATATTATCTTATATATAATATATGTTTGTGATTTTCTTATAATTTATGAATTGTCAAAAATCATGCAATGAAAGTAATGAGTGAAGACAACAGAAATGCATGAACAAATATTATATATGGAATAGATTTAATATATTTTATAAAATTATTGGATGACTCAATCATTTTAAAATTTAAATATAATTTATTGATTGATTCAATTTATTATTTATATTATATAATCGTAGCCCAAAATATGTATTTGGGTATGTACAAGAGGTTGAGGGAGAGATACAACGGTGGACGTGGAGGATACAACAGCAGAAGAGGGTATTGCCGCTATGGTTGCTGCGATAGAGGTTATCATGGGCGCGGAGGTTGCAGGCGCTGCTGCCACTATGCTGGTGAGACTGTTGATGCCCAAACCCAAGTCCAGACACATGACTAGAGCACCATAAATTATAAATAAGCGCTACAATGCATAGCTCGGTGTATATATATATATGCACAGAAGAATGGTTTAATGAAATATATAATGTGTTTAGTGTGTTAGTCTTTTGCTAACACAACTTTTGTGCAAGCACCGATTAGTATTTGTAGCGCCAGAAGTGCTTAATAAGTTAATAAATAAAATTACGAGTATGGATATGTAATGGTAGTTTTGTAGTGTTGTATGCATGCTCTAAAATACTTCTTACCCATTTTGTATATAAACTATGCAAATATATTAAAAACTAAGTAAGTATTGAATTAAAATCTTAAACAAAAATCCTAGAGAGACAAGAGAAGGAGAGAGAGTCCAAACACGTTCTGAATAACTCATTTCTTTTTTTTTTATTTATACTGAAAAATATTGAAGAATCCGTACACAAATTTTTCACAAATATGATATACAAACTAAATACATATAGTAATTTAACGTTGATGGAAAAAAAGATCCGCTAAAACAAACAAGCCATCTGGCTACGTAATGTTTAGCTGGCTGACTCCTCGATCACAAGGTGGAGCTCTGCTTAACTTGCCAGTTGCCATGAACCCATCTACTCGTTCATATTCAGCTTAAATGCTTAATCATCAGTCCACCGAACCGAAGAGATAAGCTTTGGAAGTCTAGACAAATTGCCAAACTCAAGTCTTTAGGTCTTATACATATACTCACCGGCTATATATATTGTCGTGGTCTTGCATTTATCTGCTATAAGCTCCAGCAGTGAGAGACTCAGACTTCCCATGGTTAACCTGCATGTCCGACGTTATAATATAACAGGGTAGGTGATTGTGTTTAATTTGCATGCGAGCAAAATGAAGGTGAAGAATTTTTCTGCTAGTGGGTCTGCTTATTTCAGCACTTGCTGCGGCTGTAGTAGCCGACACTTCTGCTAAGGAGGAGAAAGATGCAGCAGAGGAGACGACCCAAGTAGACGAGGGAAAATATTCCAGAGGTTGCAGGTACGGTCGTTGCTGCCACTGGGGGAGGTACGGATGCCTCAGCTGCTGCGCCGATGAGGCTAAGGCAGCTGATAGAGCCGAAACTGAGGAAAAGCTAGATGATATACAGCCCCAAGATGGTGGAGGCGGTCGTGGTGGTGCGGGAGGCGGCAGTGGCGGTCGTGGAGGATCGGGAGGCGGTGGAGGTCGTGGAGGTTCCGGAGGCGGAAGCTCGGGAGGAGGTGGTGGGGGTCGTAGAGGTTCGGGAGGAGGTGGTGGGGGTCGTGGAGGTTCTGGAGGCGGTCGTGGAGGCTCGGGAGGCGGTGGAGGTCGTGGAGGTTGGGGAGGCGGAAGATCTGGAGGAAGCGGTGGCGGAAGTGGAGGCGGAGGATCAGGAGGAGGTGGTGGCGGTCGTGGAGGCGGTTCGGGTGGCGGAGGAGGCGGTCAGTGAAGCGGACGTAGTGGTGGCGATCGTGGCGCGATGGTTATGACGAGGACGGCGAGAAGAATTGGTTAGAAGTTTTTGTGAGTAGAGACGACACCGTCTGGGATAGTAAGAAGGAGAGAGTAGTGAAGAATAAAGTGCGTGGGTGGATAATGTGTGTATGGGACGTAAGCAAAAGTTGTCCGATTGAGGGAGAAGTACTTGTGTGTATTTTAACTTTTTTTAAAATAAAAAAAAAAAACAAAACTAATAATGGTAATGGATTATAAGCTACATAGAATCTAAAACAAACACTCCCCCGTATTCTCTTTTTTTTTTTAAAAAAAAAAAAAGCTTTTGGGTAAAATTATTTCCTAAGCTTAACTTAGATAAGTTAATAATGAATAAATGTTATTTGATATATGATTGTATAAATCTGTGTAGGCGTGATCTTCACTTAGGTATACATGTTGACAAAATAGGGTGGGTTAGTTAGACAAGGACAAGATTCCCTTCAACTACTCTCCACTTATTATTTCAAGTTTCGGGAAAGTAAAAAAAAAAAAAAAGAAGAAGGATATGGGCCCATCGGATGAATGGATAAATTATGTCGGCCTTCTTATAAGCCCAATGTCCGTCTTCTCCCTCCGTCTCACCAAACCTATAATTTACCCGCTATCTAATTTGACCCGCTTCTTGTCGGATCCCACTATAATATTCTTATTGCAAATAAAAAATACTTTGAAAATAACTACAAATTAATTATAAATACAGAATAACTACATACACATAAATTAATTTTATTATGATAAAATATTAAATAAACGAGTAAAATATATTTTTTAGTTTTTATATTATTTTTTTATTATTATTTTTATATTTGTTAATTATCGTTTAAAATATTGTCAAATATTTAACAGTTTTAACATATAGTATTCTGATAACATCTAAAATTTCAAGTATATTTTTATTTTATTGGTCTTTTTATAATTATTTTGTATTCGATTGTTTTTTTATTATGTATCAATATTTTCACAATATTAAAATAAAAATATTAATATTATATTTTAGATGTCAGGTGGCATATGGTATAAAATATTTATCACATAATATAATGTTATATTTTTAAACTTTTAATATATAGAATAAACTAATTCAAATATTTTATAAAAATATAAAGATTAATTTGACATAAAATTAAAATAATAATTAAATTGAAAAAAAATAATAATAAATAAAAAGGTATTTTAGTTTTCTATAAATTCCTATTTAGTACAATATAGTATTAAGTAAATGTACACATTAACCCAACACAACATTAGCACATGAATATCATACAAGATGCCTCCTAACAAATAGCAACAAATCAAATATTATAGTTTGTTATGTAAAATTATAAATGCAATATCCTTTAATATAAAGATATAATATAAGTAGTTAAAAAAAAAAAACAAAACAAAACAAAACAAACAAACATTGAACACATCAAAAGTGGTTTGATTTCCTTATATCAAAACAAATTATTAAAAAATAAATAAATACTATAGTGAACAATTAAAATTTTTTCCAAAAATTAGGATAATATTTTTACTAAGTTGTAGCTTAAGAAATTAAATACAAATACGAGTTTTTTATTAAAATAAATAAATAACTCATGGTATTCTAAAATACTTCAAAAGGGTAGATTATAAATCTTCAAAATATCAAGATTTGGTAGCTAAAATTTAATGCTAACGACTAAGTTTCATTAAAATGAACACGTTCTTCGAGAAACATAATGTATGTTGAAATTTCACCATAGGCTTGCCATTGCATTAAACTTAGGTAAGTGTGATGTAATAAATAAATTAATTAATTAATTAATATTAGAAGAATTTGACCACCGTTGTTTCTGGTGTGGAGATTAAATGTCAATCGGCTAATAATAATTATTAATTTATTCGGGAGTTAATTTCTAAACAAATTTAATGAAAACTACCACACTCCACATGCATGGAAGACAAGACACTCTTATTAATTTCATCACAAGTTTTATTTAAATAATAACTTCTTATAATTTTCATTTTCATTTTCATTATTGTTGTCTCGGATCACATATTGAAATTTGAAGTATAGGGTATTATATATCTACCGTTAACTATGTTACTTATTGTCTATGCGTGTATACTATATATATATGTTGACAGCTTAAATCATAAAGCTAGCTACATATCTAATGTATGTATATCTAATTATTTTTATACTTAATATATGATTCTTAATTATTGTATACGTATGAAATATTAAATCAAATATAATCTAAAGAACTTAATTATTGATGTGATTTTTAAAAAAAAAAAATAAGTACAAAGATATTTTAAAGTCAAAACACTAGACTATCATAAGCAATTAGAATTTTTTGCTTCATTTCACAATATTTTTTTTTATCTTCTGTTATTAGAATCAATGATCTTTGAATAAATAATTTATATATTTTACCGTCTTATTAGCTTCATCAATTTTTTAAATTTAACAAATGCAAAGAAAATAATTTGTTGGACATTCTTTTTCTCAACAAAAACATGTTTAGTATCTTATAAAAATACCATAGTTTTTCATACGTAATAGATTCATGAATTTTATACATACCTACTTTGAACCCTTTCTCATATTTTTTGAATAAATTCTTAGAAATCTACCGACTCTATGACTTGACGAAATGAAGATGAATGTTGTCATCAAACCTACCCTGACTTTGTATGTCGTCCTATTTCCCATGAAATGCCTTCTTTTTCCGAAAGCTTCTCTTTACTTTCCTCACTCATCTCTTCTCTTCTCTTCTCTTATAAATATACTCCAAATACACATAGTACCTACATAATTATCAAATAATGATATGTATATATATTATGAGGTAGACAAAATAAGTGACGGGAGGTATAGTTGGGAATCCAATTGGAGGTATATAGAAAAATAAAATTTAAGAAATTTGTCATATATAAAATAATAATAATGTTGCTTGTTCAATAGTTATTAGCTTGGTTGGGAATTATTGTATAAGCGTAAATTAATGAGAAATTTTGTTGTTACAATTAGTTTTAAAAGTTAAATTAATTATTGTAATGTGATGCAGCGCATGAACCAAATTGGATGTCACATCGGTTGGCATAAAGAAGGTTTGGTACGTAGTAGTCAAACTCTGTAAACTTAAAACGATCCGTTTCAAAACCTAATTAAATTTGTAGTAGTGGTAGTAATTATTGAATGATTATTTTCAAATTACGAAACTGAATACTAAAATTAACTAAGTCAGAGACATTTGATTTCAAACTTTCAACCATTACCCTTTGATTTCAGTCACGATGAAGTATTAATTAAACCTGATTTTAGAACCACTCACCCACCAAGGAAGATAGAGTGACATGTATTTACTTTTTTTTTTTTTTTTTTTACATATTCAAGAGATAATAATATAAATATATATATATATTTAAATTATTAAATGAAATTCAATTACTAATAATAACACAACTAATTATACAGAATATGAAGTAACATTCAAGGATAATAGGTAAATATTTAAAAAGAAATAGGTGAATTAATAAAATTATAAACAAGGACAAAATAGAGACAAGGTGTGAAACAAAAAGGGGTTGTTATGTTTTTTGTGAAATATGAATCAACACCAGATTAAGGGGAAACACTCGTCTTCATCTTCTTGGGAATACCCTCCTTTCTTCTTCCCCTCTTCATTACCCTTCCTTTTATATTCTCCCTTTTCTCTCTCTGTAAACTCCCACACTACCCTATGATCTTCCCTCTTTGACTTCTGGTTGTGAAGAAAAACCCACTTAGCTATGATGGAGAACAAGAAGAAGAAGAAGAAGAAGAAGAAGAAGAAGAGGAGGAGGAAGAAAAGAAGTACTTGATTCCTTTAATTGGGTTCATTCACGGAGGTTGGAAGTGCTCAGAGGAAGAAGAAGAATGTTCAGAGGTTAGTGGCGTACATGGGAAAGCCAGGCATTGTCCCTGTTTTCTTTCTTTTATTTTTTTTTTCTCTTTTTATTTTTTCTTTCTTCAAATCAAATCTGCGTTTGATTTCTCATCTAACTTTTTTGGTTTAGACAGTCAAAAGATTAGAGATTAAATTAATATTCACAACCCAGAACGGGAGAAATTATATGTAAACTTTTATATCAAATTTCATAAAACACTATATATTTAACTTCTGATCTGCTCATTCACACCTTCTCTCTCTCTCTCCCCTCCCCCTCCCAAAAA